AACTTACGAAACATAAAAACTTTATTTGTGGCTGATTTCCTATCATAAAGGCCTTCTAATTTTTTTCATAAATCATGTGCTGAAATTTCAGTAGTAACATGATGAAATACACTGTCATCAATCCATTGACGGATAACACCAACGACTTTTCGATTAAGCTTGTTCCATTCATCATCTTTCATATCATCAGGTTTGCTACTATTACCCTCAATTGGTCCATACAAATCTTTACAAAATAATAGGTCCTCCATTTTAGTTTTCCAAGTTATCCAATTGCTTCCATTGAAGCTAGACATACGACTCATATTCTCCTCCATTGATTTACACAAATAAATATACCCAAATAAATCGTAAGCTCTGATACCAGTTGTTAAGGAAAATATGTGATTCCCCACAAGTAAATCAATCAATGGGAATAAAAATTAATTCTGAAAAATTAAATAAAAAACAACACAAAAATTTTACGTGGTTCCCTCAATGTGAGGCATGTTCACGGGATCGAAATTCGATTCCACTATTAATCAAATAAGTTTTCAAACGATTACAAACGAGACACGAATGGTCTTACAAAACTACCCTTAGGTAAATTCCAAACAATCACAAATAAACAAGAGGAAAGACCTCACCAAATAGATGAATCAAAATCTTCAAAACCAGAGTTGTAGAAGACCCAAAATAACAATCTAAATCAACACCGAACACCGAACCAGCCGCTTCAAAGTAGAGTAGCAAACCAAGGCATCAATTCTTGAATTGACCAAGGCAAATCCAGAGCATCAATCTATACCAATTGAAACCCACCAAAGCACTGTTGCCGAAAAATGTGTTGCTGCCGCTCTCCTCTTTTTTCTTAGGAGAAAAAAACCAATACCAAATATATATGATTAAAACTTGGGTTTATTTTATCAAAATTCTAGTTGTATCCAAATTAAATTAGGTCTCCACAAATTAGATATAATATATAAAAATATATTATAACTAATACCAAACCAAATTAAAATTGTTTAACAAAAACCAATTCGATCTCAAACTCCAATAAAGAGATATGCCCCAACACATGCTACTAACTTCTTCCCTAGGCATGATTTTAGAGTCCAATTTTTCTGTTATGGTTTTCATGATTACCACAAGACTAAGAGATTCATATAGAGAATCTTGATCCGTGAATTTCATGTTTCTCGTTTAAAATTTTCTATTACTCTGATTTTGTATCAAAGCAGACAAACTCTTCTTCCCTTTGTTTGTACCCAAAATAAAAACAAATAAACTCTTATCTTTTGCCAAGATGAGGTATGCATGACAAATTTTATGATATGGTTGGTTCCAATTAATAAAGTGAATAAAAATTAAATGCAAAATAATAAAAAAGAAAACAAGAAAATCAGAGCCTCCCCTCTGCAACTGCTTTCTGGGCAACTAATGAAATGAGTCTTCAGACTCTGTAGTCTTCAGACTCTGTAATCTTTGTGACTGAAGACCCAGTTCATTATCAGTTTTTATTTTCACTTTATGACTCTTGTTTCTTCTAATTTTTCAATGAATCAAAGCTGGTCCAAAAGCTTCTACTTTATCCCCAAAAAATAAAAATATAAAAAAAAAACAGAGAGAGAGAGAGAATGAGGATGAGGGAATGTTTTGTTTTGTGGGGTTGTTAATAATCCCCATGCATTCGAAGCTAGCGTCAAGGAAAGGACTGTGTGAATTGTGAATAAATATATGGGAAATGATTGAGCGTGCAATGTACACATCATAGGTACTTATATAAATTCTCACACATATTCATAATTTATCTCATAAATTATATAAGTTTTTATAGATATAAAAACTTACCTAAGTTTATAAAAAATTATTCAATTTTATGAGATAATTTAATATTTTTGTGAGAATTTACATAAGTGTATATTGTATCCTCTCGTATATTTAAAAATTATTTTAAATATATAAATAAATAAATATAAAGAAATAAAAATAATAAATATGGATGGAATCTAATAACTAGATGGAATCCCTTTATTCCCTGTTTGTCTTTGAGACCGTACACAGTTCCCGATTCCTTCAGACAGGCAGTCCCCCCACTTCCTTCGTTTCTTTTCAGGTCCCTTTTTTTTGGTGCATTATATAGGTGGTGTTTGGCAAGTTGGGTTGGGGTTAAAATAGTCACAAAAGATAAAATAGATTATTTTAGTCACAACAAACAAAACATCACATCCAATCCATAATCATTACACTCTTCTCTCACAAAAAAAGTCAAAAAAGCCAAAAAGTCAAAAAGCCCTTCCCAAACCAAGCTTTTTAGCCCAGGCTAAAATAGCCAAAAAGCCAACCCACTTCCCAAACGGAGGCATAGTCGGTGTTTTGGAATTGATTTTTTTTTTAATGATGTTTTAATTTTTATGAAAAAATATATAAAAAAATAGAGATAATGATTTGATTATTTATAATAAATTTTTGATTAAAAATTAAGATTCCCAGGCCATAATAGAGACGATCCTCTCTCTTTCATAAGTGAGTTGAAAGTGTGTGAATGAAATACTCTTCATCTTGATTGATCTAAACAAAATGAAGTCAATATATTTTTTAAATATAAGATCCACTATTTGAACCGATTAAATGTTATATTTTGTTTACTTATGCATATGAAAATTTAAGATAACTTTTATTTACACTACATTTTTTAATCTAATTACACTCATTTTTTTTTTCTTTTTAAAATTTAAAATACAAAATTTTTCTATACCTTTATTTTTATTTATTTTTTGATAGGCAAAAGAAATCTTTATTGATGAACCACATATAAATTACCACTACAACAAAAAGTAGATTTGGCGAATAAAACTGGATTTTTCGTCGCTGAAAGTAGTAGAATTGGCGACTAAAATGGAATTAGTCGCCAAAATTTGTCACTTTTGCCGACTGAAAGACTTTAGTCGCCAAATATAAGGGTTTTAGCGACTAAAAAAATTTTAGTAGCCAAAGGTTAAGGTTTTTGGCGACTAAAAACATTTAGTTGGCGACTAAAAAACAGTTTGGTCGCCAATTCTATGTGTTTTGCTGACTAAAAACAGTTTGGTCGCTGAAAGTCATGTTTTTTGGCTACTAAAAAAAAATTAGTAGCTAAAAACTGTCAATTGGCGACTAAAATTCACTTTAGTAGCCAAAAGAGGACGTTTTTGGGGACTAAAAACAGGTTTAGTCGCCAAAAGGGATAGTTTTTAGGTGGAACATATTTCTTTAGCGAAGGAAAATTAATTAGTAGCCCAAAATTATAGAATTGACGACTAAATAATGGATTTAGTAGCCAAAAGTGATCTAAATTTTTTTTTGGTAAATAATTTATTTTTTACATAAATTATATTGAATATATATAATTATATTTATATATATAGTTTTGTATTAATACCGGTCAAAGTAATATATAAATAATATATGTTGCAATTATATTCATGTGATAGTTTAGTGGCATAGTGAGGGGAGTGTGTTGTAAAACTTTGGAACCTGAAGGTCTCAGGCACAGAGGGTAATTTTTTTTTTTTTTTCAAACATGCTTTTGGCGACTAAACTCTGTGGTCGCCAAAAGATTGACTATTGACGATGAAAAAAATAGTCGGTAAATGTATAAATAAAAAAAAATTCACTATTGGCGACTAAAACTTTAGTCGCTAAATGTATAATTTCCAAAAATGGGAGTGACTATTGGCGACAAATTTTTTGGTCGCTGAAGACATGTATATTGCCGACTAACACTTTTTTAGTCGCCAAAGGTATTGGCGACCGTGTATTCGCGACAAAACCGGCAACTAAAATGTTTAGTCGGGAAAAGTGAAAATTCGATTTTTGACGACTAAAAAAGGACTTTTGGCGACTAAAAATTTAGTCACCAAAGGTGTGTTTTCTTGTAGTGTACATATGATAGGCAAAACATCAATAAAGAGGAGCTTGGAGCTAGAAAAAGCACCAACCTCCAGGTTGGTGAGAACTATACCTTTATACAATCACCCTTTTACCACCACCACTCCCACCTCTCCCATCAACCACCGCCACCACTCTTCTTCTCTCTCTCTCTCTCACCCCTCCCATTCTCACTTTGATGCCGTCCACTAGCTTTGCTTCGTTACTTAACACCTTACCCCTTTCTACTTACTTGAACCTATTGAAACCCTAGTTTTGAAAACTCACTCCCTTGAAACTAGTTATCCCCATCTCTTTCTCACGTGTATGCACGAATTGTAGGGTTCGGTCATGAAAGGAGGGGTTGAGGTTTACGAGAAGGGTTAGGGGTGTTACAGTGGTGGGAGAGGGGTTAGCGTGGTGAAGAAAATGGTGGTTGTGGCAGCCAAAGATGGAGGTAGTGGTTGAAGTAGGTGTGAGGTTAGGATTTAAAAAGTTAAGAGTGTAAAGAAAGAAGAGAGATTAGGGATGAGTATATATTGGAATCAGAATGGATGTAAATAGAAAAAATAAGAGCAAAGCTACCACCTTTATAATCACAATTTATTTATTATCTTATGTGATACAATCACAATCATTAATTTAACAGGTCTTACGTAAATCTCATTTAATATTTAATCACAATCATTAATCTAACAAGTCTTACGTAAATCTCATTTAATATTTAACAACGGTAATTATAGCACATTGATTAATAAACAAAATGTGATAGAAAAATATAATAAATATAAAATTACTGAAATGAAAGTTATTAGTAATTTTTAGAGTGGATGTAATGAAAAAGAAAGTATAAAATAAAAAAAAAAATCAGCACCTTAATTAAGTTAGGTCTTGGTTACTTTAATTATGTTCTTCTCAAAAATGGTATGATACCAGAGGATAAGATTGGTAAAGAAATAATAAGAATATTTGTTGATATACAAGATACATGTTGATTTCTAGGTTAGCACCCTACTAATAATACTGAATACTTGCATAAAAGAGAGTGACCCACTTCCCTATCTTTATCACAATTTTGAGCTACAGAGAACAAGAGAGAGAGAGAGCACAAAGCTGAATTGCCTTTGGTACTGGTGCATTCGTCCTGCTTGTCAGCACATGCATTCCACTTTCCACTGCAAAATCCACTTTGGACCCAAAATTTTACCTCACCTTCAAGAAAAGAACACCCCTACCCTCCCATATATTTCACTCTCTTCTCTCTCCTCTCTGCACAAATCTAGACTAGATTACAAGTTCCATGTCACCATACTCTTCATAGTTGAATACATAAAGGAGTCTTCAAACCTATCAACAACACACACCACTATATATCAAAACCTCCTATCTCCAATTTTCCATCTTATGTATCATTTGTTTTCCACTCCAAACCTAGACATGACAAGCCCTTTTGCTCTTTTCTCTCTTTCAAATCCAATTAAAAAACACCCTTGAAACCAAGATTAATAAAAGACCTTCCTTGATCTTCCACAGTTCAAGTTTCTCTCTAATACTTTTTTGTAAGAATACTTGAGAGAGAAAGAAGATGAGATCAGGAGGTTGCACAGTGCAACAAGCTCTAACTCCAGAGGCTGCAAATGTTGTAAAACAAGCCCTAACCCTAGCCAAGCGACGCGGCCATGCCCAAGTGACTCCCCTCCATGTAGCCAACACCATGCTTGCCCCTTCCACCGGCCTACTCCGCACGGCTTGCCTTCAATCCCACTCTCACTCCCACCCTCTCCAATGCAAAGCCCTAGAGCTTTGCTTCAATGTTGCCCTAAACCGCCTTCCTGCTTCTTCCTCGAGCCCCATGATGGGCCCTCACTCTCACTCCCAACATCCCTCCATCTCCAACGCGTTGATCGCGGCCTTCAAGAGGGCTCAAGCCCACCAACGCCGTGGCTCGATTGAAAACCAGCAACAACCCCTCCTGGCTGTGAAGATCGAGCTTGAGCAGCTCATAATTTCCATCCTCGATGATCCTAGTGTGAGTAGAGTCATGAGAGAAGCTGGTTTCTTAAGTACCCAAGTGAAGAGCAATGTTGAAAAAGTAGTTTCTTTGGAACTATGCTCCCAAACACCTCTTCCAACTAATAACAAGTCTAAAGAAAACAACAACCTTCTAGTTGGGGGTAAAGTAGGGAGGCCAAGGGCATCAAATCAAGCAAGGAATGAGGATGTGATGAGTGTGATAGAAAACATGATGAACAAGAGAAGAAAAAGTATTGTGATTGTAGGAGAGTGTGTTGCTACCCTAGAAGGTGTAGTTGGAGGATTGATGGATAAGGTTGATAATAAAGGAAGTGAAGTTCCTGAGGCTTTAAGAGAAGTGAAGTTTATAAGCCTCCCTCTATTTTCTTTGGAGAATCGCTCGAGAGAAAAGGTTGAAGAGAAGCTTGGGGAGCTAAGTTTCCTTGTAAAGAGCTGTGTAGAGAAAGGGGTTGTTTTGTATTTGGGAGACCTAAAGTGGATCACAGAGTATAGGGCTAGGTCAGAAGATCATCCAGGGACGGGATACTATTGTCCTGTGGATCATATGGTGATGGAGCTTGGAAGATTGGTTTGTGGGGTTGGTGAAAGTGGGAGGTTTTGGCTAATGGGTATTGCAACTTTTCAGACTTACATGAGATGTAGGACTGGTTGCCCTTCATTGGAAACTGTTTGGGGTCTGCACGCTCTTACAATTCCTGATGGAAGTTTGAGTTTGAGTCTCATTCCTGAGAGGTAAAACAGTTGATAGTTAATTTTTGGATTTATTTGAATTTCTATGTGTTAATCTTGCCTGCATAGTTCAGTTTCTTCTGAATTAAGTCATGAACTGAAATTGTGATTTTTTCCCTCATATTTTTCAAAATTTCATGCCGAATAATGGGGAAAAAAAGAATATGGTTATTCTTTCCCTTTTTTCAAAAAAAGAAAAAAAAAAAAAGATTGGCAATTTGTATTTCTAGATTGGAAAATGATTCACAAGAATGTTTTATACATAAAAGTCATCTATAATGATGTGACTGATGTTTTTAAAATTATGAATAGATTGTTGCTTTGAAATAAAAAAAAGGTCATAAAAGTTCACAACGAGAATTCTTTACAGAAAAAGTTATTTATCACTGTTTTTTTTGTTCTTTATGTGATTGTTAATTTTCCTCCATTCTTCTTCTTCTTCTTCTTCTTCTTCTTCTCTCTCTCTCTCTGTCTCTCTCTCTCTCATTACATTAAATTATCAAACTGAAATTGAGGAATTTCAAATGAAGAACAAAAATATATTAAAAAAAAGTGTATACTTTTCCCCTTGTTGCAATGAATCTCTTATAGTCATCTTCATTATATACATCTACCAGTGATGTACAAAGTGGGTCTAGCAGCAAGAAGGCTGGAAATGGGTCTAGTTGGCTTCTTGTTGAAGGTGGAAATGAGACCAAGGAACTCAACTGCTGTGATGAATGCTCCACAAAGTTCAAGACTGAAGCCCAAAGCTTGAGAAGCAGCACTTGTACCAGTGAGGCCACCACCTCCAGTCTTCCTTCATGGCTTCAACAATACAAGGATCAAAACAAAAGACTTGCTAACAATGATCAGGTTTCAATCCCATTTCAACTTTTTTGACTAAAGACACACACAGCACGAGATCTCTGTATCTAAATTCTTCTGTTCTTCTATCTACATACTGAATTATTAAATTATGTCTCGAGATTCTCATGTCTTGATCTTGATATTCTCACATAATATGAAAGTGCATTGCTTGTATAATTTTAAATATATGTATAGGAATTTTTTATTTTCAATACTGATAATCAGTTGTATATCAGTTGATATTGTTTGATATCAGTCAATATATAAGTGTATTGTTGATGCCGAAGTACTGATACTATTAGTTAAAATTAATATTGGTTGAAAATTAGGAAAAAAAAAAAAAAAAAATTGGAGAAAGAGACGTGGTGGCACTAAAGACACTTCTTTTAACACCTATACTAGTTGCAATCTAACTTTTTCTTTATATATCATGATTTCTCTTTATCAGGAGGACTGTGTCCCAGTCAAAGATCTCTGTGAAAAATGGAACTCATTTTGCAGCTCTGCCCACAAACAGCCCTACTCATCATCTGAGAGAACTATCAACTTCTCTTCTATATCACTATCACCTTCCTGCTCTACTTCTGGCTTTACATATGATCATCAATGCCCTAATTTCCACCCTATTCACCGGGGTTGGCCAGTCTATGAACCCAAACAGTATTGGAATGACCAGCATTTTTCAACTTCTGAACTAGTTAATAGCAGAAACTGTGAAGAACCAAGTTTGAGAATGTACATTCCTGAGCACAAAAATCCATTTTTGTCGAATCCCAACTCAACCCGTAACTCTGCTTCGTCTAGCGATGTCATGGAGACTGATGAGTATGTTCAGAGGTTCAACGAGTTGAATTCTGAGAATTTGAAAACCCTTTGTGACGCGTTGGAGAAGAAAGTCCCGTGGCAGAAAGACATCGTTCCAGAAATTGCTACCACAGTATTGAAATGCCGGTCTGGAATAGCAAGGAGAAAAGGGAAGGTGAGAAGTACTAGTGAGGCAAAAGAAGTGACTTGGCTTGTCTTCCAAGGAGTGGATGTGGATGCCAAAGAAAAGATTGCTAGAGAACTAGCTAGGCTTGTTTTTAGCTCACATTTGAGCCTTGTATCGATTGCCTTGAACAGCTTTTCATCACCAAGAGCTGATTCAACTGAGGACTTGAGAAACAAAAGATCAAGAGATGAGCAAAGTTGCAGCTATGTAGAGAGATTTGCTGAGGCAGTGAGTGCTAATCCTCATAGGGTGTTCTTGGTTGAAGATGTAGAGCAAGCAGACTATTTTTCACAAATGGGTATCAAAAGGGCTATTGAAAGAGGAAGAATTGGGAATTCTAATGGCAAAGAGGTGAGTCTTTACGACGCTATCGTGATTTTGAGCTGTGAAAGCTTTAGTTCAAGGTCACGAGCATGCTCTCCTCCGATCAAACAGAAATCGGATGGCTGTGAAGAAGAGGCTAGCCCTTGTGTCTCTTTGGACTTGAACATTTCATTCGAGGATGATAGTAATGCAGAAAATCAGTCAATCGACGATATAGGGCTCTTAGAATCTGTTGATGGGTTGATCATTTTCAAAATTCAGGAGTTGTAACAGAAGATAAAACTTCCAGCCACCAGATGGTTTTGACCTTTTTTTTCTTTTTCTTTTCCTCTTTGTATTCTTAATTCTCAAACATCCATTTCCTATGGATGTAGACATATATGTTGGCAATCAATGAAAACCGTCATGTAGATTATTATATGTGATCAAACCTGTTATAAGCTTTCCATCACTTTGTGTGTGTGTGTGTGCCTTTTTTTTTCTATTATATTTTTTCTTTATATGCTTTTTAGAATAGTTTCCTTCTGTAAATTGAGAAATTCAATAGCATTTTGGAATTCTGTATTCTCCGTCGTTCTTCTTCTTCTTGTTAAGAAGATCACGAAGTTATGACAAGCTTCATTCATTTTTATGTGTGTGTGTGTGTTTCACTCATCCCTCAAATGCATGTAGTCTCTTTAGTTTCATTTTATGCATTTGCTCCTCTGTCTTGTACAGAGATAATAAATAACTTTTGATATATGAAAATGTGATCATTAATTATATTTCTAAAAAACATCACCACAGATTCTCATTTTCATAGTATTCTATCCATATCAATTTCAAAAAATTAACATGGTATTGGCTTGCTCCAATTGAAAAAACATAAGTTCATAATAATCTTATTTTATGAATCAGCATAATTTAGTGGGCCGAATATTGAGTTATCAAAAAAGAAAAAAAAAAGTTGCTGACTGTTAAAATCCAATGAGTTTAACCATTTACATGCCTTTCTAAAAAATGAAATTTGTGAAAAAGTTATTTGTTGAACAGAATCAACTTAGTAAAATAACCAAATCTTGATATTTTTTATTTTTTTGTTTTATTGACATGATTCAATGTCTAGTTAATTTTTTTTGGAGAACTGCAGTTTTAATTGACTAGATTTGCCTATCATTTTTTAAAATTTTTTTTTTGTCTCATTTTGTTATTATATTTTAGTTTATAAATGCTGGATGAAAGAACTTTAATAGTTTTGTTGGTTAATCTCCTTAGTAAACCAACACTCCCATGATGATATCTGTTGCTTGTGCAATCATAAGCAATCAATAATAACAACCTTTCTTTCTAAATCTTCCTGGGTTTTTGGGTGTGGGGCCTTATGATATTTGTTAGTTTTCTTTCTCTGAATGATTTTTTTTATTATTTATTATTATATAAAAAACTGTACTTTGTATTGTATATGGGATACACTAATAATGAAGGTTACCCAAGAATTATCATTAAATTTTTCTCCCAAAAAGTTCATAGAGAAGTGTTGGGGTATATCTCCTTTTAGTTTATAAATGCTGGATGAAAGAACTTTAATAGTTTTGTTGGTTAATCTCCTTAGTAAACCAACACTCCCATGATGATATCTGTTGCTTGTGCAATCATAAGCAATCAATAATAACAACCTTTCTTTCTAAATCTTCCTGGGTTTTTGGGTGTGGGGCCTTATGATATTTGTTAGTTTTCTTTCTCTGAATGATTTTTTTTTTTATTATTTATTATTATATAAAAACCTGTAATTTGTATTGTATATGGGATACACTAATAATGAAGGTTACCCAAGAATTATCATTAAATTTTTCTCCCAAAAAGTCCATAGAGGAGTGTTGGGGTATATCTCCTTAGTGAACTATGAGACCCAATTAGTTTTGTTAAAAGAATTTTAATTTGGTTTAGTTTGGATATAATATATTTTATATATTATACCTAATTTTTAGAGGCCCAATGGGTATTTTTAATTAGTTTGATAACAGTTAGGGTTTTAATAAAAAAGTAAAAAATTTAATCATATATGAATATATATTGTTATGTTCATCCGAGATATAAGGCCCGTTTGGTAGAGATGTGGGAAAGTGATTATAACTTATAACCTAACAGCTTATAGGTTATAGCTGTGAATATAAATTGATTTTTGACTTATAAATTAAGTTTCTTCTCCCCTACTTAAAAAATAAGTTAATTTTTGACTTATAAAAAGTTATAAGTTGTATTGTTAAGCTGAACCAAACACATCAAAATAGCTTAAATTAAGTTAAAAGCTGAAATAAGCTGGAAATAAGCTCTACCAAACAGGGCCATAGTGTCGCGGCAAATATATTATTTGTTTTCTTCGACGGGTGCTGTTTCAGGACTGGTGCTTGGAAGGTTCTCTTGGTTTTGAATCTTTGTTTGCTTTGAAGCATTGTCAGTGTTTTCGGCTGGTGCGTGGTGAAGCTGATTTGGTTCGTTATTTTGGATCTTTTACAACTTTGTTATGAAGATTTCTATTAGTCTATTTGGTGAGATCTTTCTTCTTATTTATTTGTGATTATTTGGAATTTATCTAAGGGCGGTTTGTGAGATCATTCGTATTTATTTTGTAATCATTTGGAAACTTTTTGATTGATAGTGGAATCAGATTTCGATCCCGTAGATATACCTTACATTAAGGGAACCACGTAAAAATTCTTGTATCGTTCTTGATTTAATTTTTTTTACATTAATTTTTATTTTCATTAATTGATTTACTTGTAAGAAGTCATCTATTTTTATTAACGAGGAACATGAAATGCAGGGTAAGTTTTGAACATAAACACATAATAAGGTTATCATTTGCATAGTGTCATTCCAAGGATGAGTCAGGGATGCTGTGTGCACTCTATTATTTTAACATTACCCAACCACTCATAATTTATATACAAAATTTAAGTTTCAGATTGCTGGAGGTGCCAGAGTCTCAAACAAGCTCGGTGCGAATTTAATTCGGATTTCCAAGTATTGAATTTAAAAATATGTTACTAAATCTTAAAAAAAAAAAAATTGGTCTAAATTCGGATTGCTCAAGATGAATTGCTCAAATTGCACAATTAATTGGAACCTAATTTTGTGTTACGACTCACTAAGTCGTTAGAGTTATGACACATAATATCATTGGATTATAACGTTGAACACATTGTGACTTAACTTAAAATACATTACATTGTGAATCAGAGTTGGCAATAGGGATAGGCTGTGACTTGTGAATTTATTATACAAATAATTTAAATTATCACAAAATTATTTTAAAAGTGTCCCATTTTTATTTTTTTATTGATACAGAATAGAGTCGTTTGCTATACTATAATAACATATTTAATCACCAATTTGGTCTCTTTTCTTTGGCTCTAAAATTTAATTTTTTTTATCCAAATCGTGCATTTATTTGAAGTATTTTTTTTCACCTAGGGTTTGGGTCTAATTAATGGCCCTGAGTCCATACACTTTCTCAAATGGAAGCCATATGGTCTCTAACTCTCTATTAAGATTCAATCATATTTCAAACTAACCTTTTGATTGATCTCATGACTTTTGGCCAGATGAGTGGGTCCAAAATTGTATGATTCTGCACATCAAGCAAAAGTTGAAAGTGCAAAGTCCTATAGCTTCTTGGTTTACACTCTATTGCAATAGTAAGAAAGTAATCAACTGGGTTAAAAAAAAAAAAATAAATAAAAGAAAAGAGGAAAAAGATAAAAGAGGCAAAGGTAAAAGCTTTTGCTTTCGGTTTTCGATGGCTCATATGAAAATATCTATAAGATTATTCGACGCTAGCCCGCCCGACTATTCAGTTGTGCAATCATAAGCAATCAATAATAACAACCTTTCTTTCTAAATCTTCCTGGGTTTTTGGGTGTGGGGCCTTATGATTGACCACTCCTTTGTCCTTTTATATTTTAATTTTAATTTTTTTGTTGGGGGGACACAATTAGCTTATTAGTTTGAGTTTTTTGTATAACTTTTTAAAAAATTAAAATTTTATATTTTTTTATTTTTACGGACTTTTTTAACATTTCAAGTAAATTTTTTAATTTTTAGATATACCTAATATAAATACACTTAAAAAAATATAATATTTGTGAAAAAAATCTTTAAAAAATTCACTAAATATCAAAAAATACAAAATATATATATATATATATATATATATGAAAATTTAGTACAATTTTCGTATTTTTGTGTATTTTTAATTTTTAAAAATATTTTTCACAAATATTATTCTTTTAAGTGTATTTATGTTAGGTGTGTCTAAAAATTTTTTAAAAAAAAATTGCTAAAACATTAAAAAAATCATTGAAAACATTAGAATATGAAAAATATGAAAAAAAATATATATATAATTTACTGAAAATCAGAAGCAAACAAATTGTATATTTTTTTAAATTATTAAAAGTGTAAACTGAATAGTGGTATGTCTTGAGATCAAATGTGATATGTAAATAGAGCCATCCGAATTGAGATGACCTTTTAAGTCCATTTATTAAATGGGCCAGGCTTACAAAAGTTCATGCAGCCTCGCCCGATTATTAATATACATTATATACATGTATATGTTATATATGTATATATATACAATTTATGTTGTTTTATGATTTATTTAAAATGGAAAATATATTTACCAAAATTTACATTTAGAATGTAATGGCTAAACATTAAATTTTGGGTAAATTATGTGAATGGTTTCTGAAATTTATACGATATGTCAATTTGATTCATATTATTTTAATTTGTTCGATTTTACCTATTAATTTAACAGATTGTGTCATATTATTCCAATAAATAACGGTTGTTAGGTTTGGTGGACAGAAAGTCAAACGATGTGTCAATTTGGTCCTTATAGTTTATACGATCGAGTAAATTAAAATAATAAGGACTAAATTGACACATTGTGTAAACTACATAAACCAAATTGACACATAATTTGACTTTTCATCCACTAAACCTAATAGTCGTTATTTATTGGACTAATATGACACAATCCATTAAATCAAGGGGCAAAATCGAGCAAATTGAAATAACTGAGATTAAATTGACACATCGTGTAAATTATAAGAACCATTTGCATGATTTACCCTTAAATTTTTGTGCAAACTCAATTACAAAATTATTAATTATTAATGTTATAATATACTTTTATTTAATATGTGGGTTTTTTGGGCGGGCTCGGGATTTTAATACCATTTTAGGGCTAGGCTTGAAAGAGATTTGCAGGTCCGAAATCTCAGCTTGGGCACGATAATTTTTTGTATTTCTTAACTTAGATCTAGTCCAGTATTTATCTATCCCTAGGTGTCACTCATGGAAAAAATATGTAACCCGAAAAAGTTTGAACAATTTTATTTTAAAATTAAAGTACGTGATGTAAATTTAACTTGGTGTTGCGTGCGCTATTTCAAAATAAATTTG